TAGCCCTCTCCCCTTCCTCGAACGAAACTCGCCATATTCCGCCCGCACTTCCATCTTCCACATTCAAACTCCCGCCATCCGCCATGGGGCAGCCCAATCTGCCGTCGCGAGAAAAAAATTTTTGCGACTCGTGTATGAGAAGAGCCGAACCAAAGCGATCCGGATTTTTGTAATTGCCGAATATGTGCCCACCGGCGGATTGAGTGTTCGGCGCAGGCATTTGGGTGCTGGGCAGCAGCGATGCGCGTGTTGGCCATGGCTAAGTTATTCTGAATTAGCAAGTGCATCACTGAGAACCGTAGAGAGCAGCTGAGTTGTTCTTGGCCAGCACTGTGCCACGCTGCGCACTTTTGTGACTTCTGCAGTTCCCTTCCATCTGCGTCACACTGCACCGCGATTTAGAATCATCGTCGTGGCCTGAAAGAGTGGTGCTCTGTCTGCATTTTTTGGCTCCCATGTTTTGCTCGTTGTCTGTGTTTGCAGCTTAGGGATGAAATACAGACAGCCAGTTTCACATTTACCTTCCCTACACATGTCCTCCCTACATCTTTTTAACTTTGTATATTATACATATGCGTTTCACAATCTATTTCATTTCCTCTTTTCGTGATCTCTCGACGATCCATTTGATCCATTCATTCCGTTTCTTCGCTTTCATTTTGCTTCTTGCGGCTTATCTACGTCACTGTTTTGTGCTAATTGGGTGTCTTGCAGAAGCGATGGATGAGCGGGCACCAGAAGAGCAGGGAGATGTTGATCCGAGAGCGCTTCTGGACAGGATCGAACGACAGGGCGCCGAGTTCCAGCAGATGGTGCTCGACGTCCGTGCGTTGATTGTCGAACAATTCGCTGTGCTTGCACGGTAAGCTGCCTCCATGCTACAGCTGCATGCTTGATTTCAGCTGCTTCCTGCATAGCCGCAACATGTTTATCTATGTATACGCACACGTACATATATGTTTATATGTATATGTACATGTATATACATGCACACATACATATATACATATGTATATGTATGTACATATATATATACGCATATATATATGTGTATAGCTAAATGGTTCTTTTGAGTTTCACCAAATATTAAAATTCGACTGTTTTTCCTTTGATGGCCTACACTGCGACCAAGTTACACATGTGCCGTAAGAAACATCTAACCCCGTCTTGCTCCTACTTTTTTTAAAAAGGCTGTTAATTTCATTATTTTCGTTAGCATTTTAGTAGGATTCCAAATTTTCCAGTACTTTTCCAGTACTTTATATATATATAAAATTATTTCCTAGACGTACACATATGCATATATATTGTATATATATGCATATGCATATGTGAACGTCTAAACACGTAAAATGCCAGGCCAGGCAGAGCATCGTGATGTGGGAGTGGCAACGAGCTGAGTAGTATTGAGGAGTGCGGCAGGGTGCGATCCTGGCAGTTCCGGGCATGTCGAGAAAACACCGCGGCCGCGTCCCTTCGGCGAAGCTTGATCTAATAGCTATTCGTAATGCAGCAAAATTGAGGCAGCTATG